TTGTGGACTCCAGCACCGGAGGTCACTACGATTACAGTGTGATTGTAATATTTTAAATTTTTCCTTTACACATTAAACACACAATTTTACTTATGACTTCCGATATTGGAGGTTCTAGTGACACTAAGTATATGAATAAAGTGTGTAAAATTGCAATGTTACTAAGTGGGATTTAAGTGCCAGGTGATTCAATTATTATTGTTTTGGTGTAATGATATTAACACTTTAGAGACGACAATTTTTTAATTCATTGTTACGTTGAGGACGAGTGCCGTGTCTAAAACGGGCAATATTTTTGCGTCTAAAAGACGAACACTGTGTTTCACATGAAATCGTTTAAGTATATCGATTTTTAATTTATATTAAATTATAATATAAATTGTATTAAAAATATCGCAATACTAACAATTGTATCGATATTTTTTTCGATTATATTATATTATAGTCCAAAAATTATCATAAATAATTATGTTGTTGACTTTATTTCCCTATCGACCATTGATTGCGTACGATGTCCTGGGCGTTAAATTCTTTATTTTAATAGTTGTTGGCTTGTTTTATTTGTTTTTTTTTTGTTATTATTATTCGTATTACACATCTATTTATTTTTATGATTACTAAGTTATAAACATACATCGCGTGTTTGCGGAAAAATAATATTATCAAAACGAAAGAATTATACCATTATTGGTTTTAGTCCTTTGCTCCTACTATAAAAAAAATATTATAGCTAGTATTATAGCTCTAGTATTATACTCAAGATAAAATAAAATACTTATCTCGGTCAACTATTTGTTTTGACTATTGGAACTGTCGTAATAAGCCGTATATTACAGATATCGCGTTTTATTAGATAATCATATTTATTTTTAGACCTATTTTTAGATCAACACTCAGAGAGTTCGATGAAAAAAATAAGAAGTTAATTGGATTATTCAATAACGACTAAAAAAATACAGAAAACATGTGAAAAGGAAAACAGACCGTCCACACAACAATTAACTGGCGGGAAAAGTTCGTCCGTATACACGTACACACGTACACACGTACCGCGTTAAACGCGGGATTCGTCTCCAACGTATTACCATTGTAAAAATTCTAGCGTCCTACTTATCTTAAAATCATGGCCGTGTCTAACACAGTACTCGTCTCCAAAGTACATTATGGACTCCAGTACCAGAGGTCCAGTACAAGAGAGATAGTAATATTGTAAAGTCGTATACTGTAGCAGTGTAGCATATAATACAGCGTGTAAAATTTAAAATAATTAGTGGACTCCAGTACCGGAGGACCCAATACGATTGCAATTAACAGTGTGATAGTAAAATTATAATTTTTACTTTTATACAGTGATTCTTAATAATTTTAGCACATAATATTACTTGTGACTTCCGATGACAGAAGTATCAGTGTCACTCTACTGATGAATAGGTAAAGTAGTATATTGTAGCATAGGAGACAATGTGTAAGACTCAAAGTAATTTGTAGACTCCATTACCAGGGGACACAACGATGACACCCAATTCTAACATTTTAATTTTACTTTTACACATTAACACACAATTTTACTTGTGACTTCCGGGGACGGAGGTATCAGTGTCACTCTTCAACAGACTGATAGTTAAAATCGTATATTCTGTGGTATAGAAATATATGTGTAAAATCAAAGTAACTTGTGGACTCCAGCGCCGGAGATCAAAAGGATTACAGTGCGATTGTATGATTTTAAATTTTATTTTTACATATTAACACTAAAGGTTAAACACATAATTTTACTTGGGACTTCCGGTGACGGAGGTATCAATGTCACTCTTCAGCAGACTGATAGTTAAAATCGTATTCTGTGGTATAGAAATATATGTCTAAAATGCAAAGTAACTTGTGGACTCCAGCGCCGGAGGTCATTAGGATTGCAGTGCGATTGTGATATTTAACATTTTATTTTTACATATTGCCACTAATGTTTAAACACATAATTTTACTTGTGACTTCCGTCGACGGAGGTATCAGTGTCACTACTCTGATTAATAGTTTAAATCATATACTGTAGCATAGGAGACAATGTGTAAAACTCAAAGTAATTTGTGGACTCCAG